TTCTTTTGTTGTGAAATCGCCGTGACGAATACGGAATACTTGCTCTTGCGTATCGTATAAATATGGATGTCATGGATGGATACCCCATATCCTTTGTTTTTCTATTATGAATGATTAGACGATACAGATAGTGAGTTGAACTTGTGAAGTTGTTTGTTTTAATAGTCACTGTGGTTCTTCATAGCCAGGCTGGAATATATTCTATGAGTGAAATCGCAATATAAAGTAATTGCTCTTGTGTATCGTGTCAATTGAGATGCATGACTAGATGATTAAGGTTCATCATAACAAATGAAAAAAAAAATGGCTGTATTTACACCTCAAAAAGTACTCTGTACAGACTAACCTGTGCAGTTGGAAAAGTTTTAAGGCCTGGCATCCACTAGATATATAAAAGTTAAATGCATTTTGTGTTTCAGAAAGATAAAATCTTTTTTTGGATTTTGATGGACATTTTTTTTCTGTTCCTACAGAAGGTGTAAAAATACACTAAGTTGGGTTAAATCTTTGAGATGCACTCTTTCAGGTAACAACTGTATTGTATTGTACTGATTGTCCTTGATTGGCATGGACAATAGAGGACAATAGATATCTACACAACAATAGGTGAGTTAAAGGGTGTAACTGAGTGGACAGTATCAAATATTATTCAGGTGTTTGTTTATTTTTACACCAACAAAAGAAATGAAAAAAATGCCCTTCATAATCCAAAAAAAATTTACACAAAATGCACTTAAATTTTATATATCTAGTGGATGCCAGGCCTTAAAATGTTTCCAACTGCACAGGTTAGTCTGTACTCAGAGTACTTTATGAGGTGTAAATACAGCCATGTTTGTCCATTTGTTATGATGAACCTTAATAACAGTACAACTTTTGTAACAGTTCAGATGCATGATAAGTAAAACGCCATATGATTTAGATAATTGATAATTTGTCACCAAAAGGTTCCGTGGAAACAGAGTATCAAGATACGGATTCAGAGGGGGCATAGGGCCCTGCACCTCTTATGGAGCTATATATATGATAAATATATAGACTTGTTACAAGAATGACTCCAAACGTTTGCTTTCTATAGACCCTCCCTCCTTTTTCAAAGTCCTGGATCCGCACCCGGTATCGCGTGCGATTGCTGATGCCATTGTCAAAGTGTAACAGTGTGATGTTCGACTGCCAAAATCCAATTCCATTTATTAGTAACAAACAGCAAAATAAATTTTGTAAATCAAAATTTTGCTCATGGTGCTATCACGTGGTTATGAAGTTTTCAGTGTTTAAAATATTTGACGGTATTGTCAAAATTTGGCCTTGATATTATTTGTTGATCACGAAGTAATCTCTGTTCAAATTCAGTAAAATTGCAAAAGGATTTGACAATGTCTAAAAACATTGGGATCCTAAATGTTGACATGCACCACGACGACGACGGAATGTATGATCACTATGTCTCGCCTTCGCATCTTTTGTAATACTTGAGACAAAAATGAGTTTTAAACAGGGCAACTGAAAATACAACGTTTATCATCGATTCTAGTTTTGAATTTTCGAACAGGATAATTTAAATTTTTAACAGTGCTGCAGTTACAAACAGTTTAAGTTCATAGCGATAAACGAGATCAAGGACTAGCAAATAAAAAGAGATAATTGAATGAAATGATAGAGGAATGGTATAAAGGGTTTTCATGTCGACTTTAAAAGAAGATTCTATAGAATTCTGATATTTATGTATGTTATACGCACAAAAACAACTCGGCTGGCATTGGCGCATAATAAGTCCTGACTGTAATAGTGACTCTTTTCATGTTCGAATTTGGTTAAGAGGATAGATAGAAACTGTAAACAGAAAAAATTATCAGCAATACAAGATCAACAAAACAGTTTTTTTGTCATGAATTATATTCTAGTCTACAATGTTGGAGAGTGTCCATTGTCGAAGACGCACATAGACCAGGACATATAGGTGAGCGACACGGGCTCTTTTGAGCCTTATGTTCTTTTGGGGTTCGAAATAACTTTTAATCAGTTTGGTTATTGACGTAAACACACTTGATTTTGTTACCTTTATTGTTTAAGTAAATTACATTTTTTCATTGTTCCCGCTTTTACAGTTTAAACACTGCAGACGAAATATCATCCTACTCCGACAGAGTAATGAGTATTTTGACTAAGAGCTGCAAAATCATGATTTTACTCTTAAATGCTTTATACTCGGCATAGATGCAGCAATATATATTCATTGGGATTGGTTTGACCTTGCTGGGGATCGTGCACACACCATCAAACGAACAGAAGCGAGCAGGGGCGTAGCTAGGTATCCAATAAACTGTAGGCACAAATTGCGGCAGGGGGGTCTGGGGCCGCTTAAGTTCCCTAGCAGGTCCAGGGCTCTCCCTGGTAGGGGGTTCAGGGGGGCTTGCCCCCGACGGAAAACGGTTTTCAGCATTTTAAGTTGCAAAATTTTGTGTACAAAAATCTTAAAATTTACTGGTCATTTTATCATGATAATATACATGAAGAAAAGTTCAAAGGATTATACATAATTTTACAATAACATCTGGCTGATGAATTAACGCAGAACAACGTGAAATTGAAAAAAAAATATTTACAATATGCATTGCCCAGCGTACATCAGCGTAGCCCTCTAATTAAACAGTACATCCTGTTTAGTAGATTCATATCTATTCCTTTCTGATTGAGGATAACTGATACATATACGTCAATTGATAGTACATGTTGACGAATCTTCATTATAGAAATAGGCACGTAAACACTGAGATTACTATATAATATACTTTCCTTTGGGCTAGGCATCGACAATTCATCTTTTTTTCTTAAACCTTCACCCTTCCCGGCCACAGAAAACACATACACACACACAGTCGATGGCATCATGCATAACGCATAAGTTCGATTCTGTTCATACTATCTAGCAAAGTTCAAGAAATTCTTATTTTCTGATATCCTGTACTGTAAAATCCCTACCTGCTTAGGAATTGGAATAATTATGGTCATTACACGTAGATCTAAGAGTACCCGAAGTTACTGAAAGCTAGTTAACTGATTGATTGGTTGTTAAACGTCCAGTGGCAAATATATATAGTGCATACATGTTCAGGACAAAAATAAATTTATAATTAATACAACAGGTAGGTCCTTGATAGGGGTCATCCAGGACGAAGGTCTGATATTTGGAAATACTATTGGAAAATGAGGGTTTATTGGATAAGGACAGAAATTTTGCCTTTCAGCAGACCACCTACGGACCCCTCAAAGAGTTGTTGCAAGTGTTCTTAACGTGCAGAGAGAGTGGCATTCTCTCTACACTAAGCATCGGATTTAACGTTACCATTCTGATCAGACGGGCTTGCGTATTTATACATCCCACACAGCCAAACGAACGCCACACTTTGGCAAGGGTTTTATTGTAGGTTGGATGAAGACCAAGTGGAAAGCTAGTTGAAAGCCAACAACAACTAATAAAAAAAATGATGTATCTAAGAATAAAGTGTCAGGGTTTTGAGCATGTTGAGTTTCATTCAAGTATTTGTTGATAGAAGTGAAATGATCTGAACCAAAGTTCTATAGTTTTTAGTTTCTATCTAAGGTGGAATATAATGTACCTACAGTTCTATCCAATACTCCATTCACTAAGGATGATAGACTAGTGTACACATGACATTTGATTATTAAAGAGTTTTGACGACTTCACGTGCATCTACAGATAACGTTGCCATTATTTTTTTTAATACAAAAAAATATTTGTGAAAAAACTATGTGTAGGCACGTGCCCCTGGCTAGCACGCTACCTCGCATTCACAGAGGTGGTTCTTTCCCGAGCAATAATCCTAAAATGAAAGCATTAAATGAGCTGTCTCTACAGAAAAAAAGCGAAAACAATACTAATAGGAATATGTGTAATATGAATATGTCCTGAATTACAATAGTCTTTTGTTGATTGTTAGACCTCTCGATCTCTTTATGTGGGTTTTTGTGTCGTTGGTTTGCTGTTTCATTGACGCATATCTTTAACCTCCCCTTTTCATATCAAATAGCTTCATTGTGATTTTGAAGAGTAGTGAGGCAAACAAATCTACGTGGTCTTATGATAATTTGATGAACAGTTACCCTTTAAACTTCCTACGTAACACGCAAACTGGTAGAAAGTATGCTGGCACCTGCGTGTGTAGTTGTAATGCAAGGCATCGTATTCGGATTTTTAATAAACTTTCGTTTTTTAAAAAATCAATTTTTACTTTAAACCAAGGAGAATATTTATACAGTTTTAATTACTTCTAAGAAATTTCTGGCTGGTTTCTAATAAAAAATTTCCACGAAATTCATTGTACTTAGTTAACCAACATTTGTTGTTTTAGTAAGAAGGAATAAAAGCATAAGGATTGCTTCTTACAAGAAGTTACAGCTTCATTATTTTATGTTGGCAAATTTCATAGTTATTGGTTAAATGCACACAAAAATACTGTCCAAATACTTTTAGAATAAGTTTTACAGCCGCTTAAGATTTAGATATTTCACACAGCACATGTTTGTTGTATTTCAGTAGTATTATTTTCCAAAAGTCCCGGGACCAGCTTATATAGGGACGTTTATCCATTTATTTTTTAACTGATTCTAATGGGTGATGAAAATGTATTTAAGGGTAATAGGTTGCAGATTAAATAACATTCCATGTTTAAGGTTTATTTTTCTGAAGTATTTTTTAAAAACCGTCTACCAATTTGAACTCAACTTGACCTAAATGGAAAATAATGTTATATTGCAAAAACAAATTGTGCGACTCAGGCCCTAGACGTCCCTATTATGTTAACCGAGTTTGACACATGTCAATGAAACGAAGAATAAAAGATAGAATGCATCTCTTTTTTTATCTCTAAATCTTTCTGCATTATAATAAGTATAATTCTCAATAGGTTTTTATTCAAGCTGACCTACAAACATTTGTTTTGGTCCACTGATATTGCATTTCGTAATCCATTCAAAAATTTAAACTGATCATCAGTCTGTGTGGTTATAATCTATGTGGGCCAACCTGCCGTATGTAATAAAAGTGCTAATTAGCTGCCAAATTGTAGCATTTAGAGACACATTTTTCGTAATTTGGATAGCTAAATGTCAAAAGGAGTAATACTGACAAATATTTACTCAAATTAAGATTTATAATAAAACAACGACCGGACATTTATTTTGTATGTGGGAAATTAAACACGTGAAAGGATAGAAGTGAGTATTCTTCATTTTCGTATGTTTTTACTTTGAACGTTCATAGAAGGTAAGGTTTAAAAAAAAAATACTTATCTTAAATATTTATCTCTCTTAATTTGATAATAAAACAAAATAGTCGGAATCGAATAAAAAAAAGCGTCAATTTGTTTTTAAACCTAATTGCAAGTCATAGTTTATTTTTAAATTTATGTTAATATTTTATGAAATATACGAGTATAAAAACAGACATTTTCTCGTCTACTTCCATGTGTAGACCAATCCATGTTCTTGATTCTACTTTTAGACAGCTTCATCTTAAACTAAAACTATAAAAAAAAATAGATAAAACGTACGCTGTTTCCTGGTATACATATATATACGTTTCTATTATTCGGTGACAATATTCTATCCCACCGCCTCGCCAAAAATTTAGAAATATAATAAATTAATGATATGAGGAAATAAATCATAATGATGAAAATTAGAGATTTTTCTTCATGCTTCGTTAGATGGTGTTGAGAAAATGCCAATACCATTGTTAAGTCAAAAGGGAATTAACTGCATGTATGTATAATTGGTTAATGTATATCATTATTTCACACATGCACTGTATATTATATTATATTGTTGTATATACTTATTGTCTCTATAACTATGTCATTAGTTGATGAGAATAAAATTCATTCAGTCAGCATGTATGTATAATTGGGACCGGTTAGTAACAAAATTTCGAATTAGGTGGAATATTAATGACGGTTTTTCTTTCAATTTCAACTTGAATAGGCTGACACCCGTTGAATGTAAGTGTAACATTTTTGTGGTCATTAGAATAACTGATTAAATTTCATTGACATATAGTAGGTTTCAGTTTAAAAATATGAGATTCTAGTCATTTGAATTTAAGGAAAATGCTTAACTCTAAGATTAAAACAAAAATAATTTTAAAATTATTTCAAATTACGACTGTTATCCCAAAATACCATGGAATTTATTATCTTTCCAATCGTAATGAAAACCCACATTTTAAACATATTTCTCTAGTTAAGTCTATTGCTTTATATTTAAGACAAAAACATATCCACAGGCTCTAAAAAAAATCCGGACACGTAGGTTTAACCGGCGATTTCTACTGGCTTTTCTTCAGGAAAATAATAGCCCGAACAGTAAAAAGATTAAGCTTTTAATAAAAACAGAAATCTTTCATCAGATCCGCTTCAAATGTTTTTATTTCAAATAATTTGCCTTAAGAAATACGATTTATTTTCCCACACAATGCTGGTATTGTAATGTTTTCTCGGTAGTTGGGTACCTGGTATCAGGTTCAGAAACTCTCATTAGTATACATGCTCTTGATCTTTACTGTATTTTAACTACTTTAGATGAAGAATGTACTTTAAATTCAGGTAGGTGGAATCTTAATTATATGACGGTAGTAAATATTCATCGTGTGAAGACTTTATTCTTTTGCTTGTCATTTCCCTATTCCTCAAAGTTTCAAGTTGGAAAGTCAACATGAACCTTAAATGAATTGTGTCTCCTGTGGTCGAGTATCAATTTCTTGCCCTCGGCATACCAAAACATCATCATAAATTGATTTAATTGTAATCTTGCTTTATAATGCTGCGTGCCCTTCCGAATAAATTTTGTCAGATACACCCAAGACTAAAATCGGATGTAGATAGTTTGGAGTATGATCTAGTGTTTTTTGTAAGCAAAGCGTAGACCAATGATCTGTATTTTAATCGAGTAATCAGATTGATTTCCTCATCACTTGAAAAGTTGTCCCATTCAATTGGTTTTGAATTCTTTATGCATATCAACTAAGATAATTCTGGAATAGAATTAAGGTCACGGTGATCCAGTTTGTCCATTGAAAATTGATCATGACTTGTATCAAACAATTCATGCAAATTTTAAATTAAGTCATTCATACATGAAATGAATGAAGGTTAATGTGGCTAAATTTTTTTTATGTGAATCTTCAATAATTCAAATACAAGATTATGTTCGTTGCTAAATATCAGGGTTTTTTTTTTATTTTTTTGTTCCCACAATAGTCCTGCTTGCGTAAAATGTAGTCAAAGAATTCCGCTCAAACCAGTGCTAGGGGCCGCCTTAAAACTGCAGTGAGGTGAGAGTTTTGCTCCGTGTAGAAGGCATCACTGTAACTTTTAGATGAAGAACAGAAATATAGCTCTGTTTCTTTGCTTTTTGTGTTTTTTTTTTGCTGTGCATGTACTGATTGGGCTTCTTGGTTGGATAACCAATATCCTTTCTTTTTTATCTTCAAAATCATGATATTTTGTGTATGGTCGTTTGTTGTTATCCCACTCTATTTCAATTACAAAACGGGTCAGGTTGACCTTTTTTTCTATTAGCCTACATAATTAAGACGTATCAATAGATAATGTCATTCATGGAAGACTTTACTAATGAAAAGCTTAGCCACCCAATCGTGAAATTATAGGTGAAACAGGCTTAATTTTTGTTCGGACTATTTGGTACCAAAGATGTGTGCGCATGACAATATACTCCTCTCGACATTCACGTTATTCTTTTAATATGATAGTCTTATCCTAATACGTTTACAAAAAACCAAGTGATTTTGTCGGTTATTTTCTTAAAAAGAAATGATGAAACGCATATAAATGTGAACTGTAAATGATACAGCAACCCAACAACAAAAAAACAAACACTAACACCCAGAAGATGTCCAGAAAAGTTGTACTATTACCACTTTATAAAAAGCCGATTTTCTATAGATACCTTGAATTGGTAATTGCAAGTTTTAAAGGGGGCATTAGCTGTCAAATTCATGTTCACCGATTTGACTCAAATTCTCATATTTGATTTATAACACACTAAAACGTATATCCAAATTATAAAAAGTCTAAAATAAACAATTAACAATGACTGCGCTCGATAGTATTTATCAGGATTTCGTATGTATTTTAGTCTAGACGCCATCTAATTAACCATTGCGGTGACCTCCGAAGACTGCCGACGGTCGACCCGATATAAACATAAATATAGATATAAATAGATAGCGAACTCGTGCAATTGAATTTTTCTAGGTCTGTTTGATTTCATATTATAGGTTAAAAATATATGTTAATCATCGTTTTTATACGACCGCATATTGGTATCACGTCGTCGTCGGCGTCAGCGTCGTCCGAAAACAATTGGTTTCCGGACAATAACTTTTGTTCAAGTGTATGGATGTATTAATTTGTACTGCATTTTACAAAAAGAATTTCTTCAAAATTATGTTTTTTGGAAGTGGGGTAAATTATAAATTTTTTTTTTGGAAAAAGGGGGGGGGGGGGCATTTTTTTTTTCCTCAAAAGAAAATTCTCTTCAAATGTTATGTCAATTTTCCAAAGAAAAATTTTTAATTGGGGGTCACAATTTATTTTGCTAATTCTTTGTTTATAGTCTGAAAACAGATTCACTAAGTATTGCACAACAGCACAGTGTATTCCACAACAGCAAAAAATCTTCAATTGAATATAAATTCAAATCATACATTTGGATTCCGGACAATTACTTTAGTTCTCTTCAAATATTATTTTTTAGAAGGGGGGAAACAATTTATGTTTGGGGGGGGGGGGGGGGGGTCAATTTTTGTTTCTCAAGATTTAAGAAACTGTCAATTTCTTTAACTACATTTATTCTGTGGCAGAAACCTAAATGTGTCAAATATTTAATTACAATCCAAATTCAGACCTGTATCAAGCTTGAATGTTGTGTCCATTTTTGCCCCAACTGTTCAGGGTTGGACCTCTGCGGCCGTATCCAGCTGCGCTCGGCGAATCAGTTTATTATCTGCATAAGAATGAGTTTTTGTGGATCGAATCGGTCAGTCAAATGGTTTACCCTTGTTTCATTTTCAATATTGACATTCTTTTCCTTTTTGATAACTGAACACGCATATTTCGTGCGTAATCCATCTCTAGCTAAGGGGTTAAATTGAAGGTCACATGAGTACGGATTCAATGAGGTCGAATTATTCACTTGCGATGTTTCTTAGCTTATTTTGACAAAATTGAACCAAACTGGCTGCTAAAAGGGAATTATTATTTCACTATTTTACTTTCATTAATGATTGAACAAAAAAAAATCATATTTTATTTTACATCTCGTAGCTAATGCCCCTTTAAGGTGAACATTTATACTGATAGCTATTTTGTATTTTTGATATTTATATGATTGTTTTCCTTTTGTAAATCATAAAAAAACAGACGCATATACATACTAGTATATCTATTTTTAAATACGAAATAAATTAACCTGAAAATTTCTCAAGAAGAAAGTTTTACTTGGTCAATGGACCTTAGCTCCGATAAACAAAATTGTGTTCCACCTTGGGGTAAAATGTAACCGATGAATGAAACTAAAGCGACAAATGGGCGAGTGGACAAAGCGTTTTGAACAATTATCAACTGAAAATACAGTACAGCTGGAAACAATGGATACATGTGATTCCGAACAAATAATAGTAAATAAATAAATATATATTTATATATATATATATATATAAATAAGAAGATGTGGCATGAATGCCAATGAGACAACTATCCATCCAAGTCACAATGTGTAAAAAGTAAACAATTATAGGTCAAAGTACGGCCTTCAAAACGGGACCTTGGCTCACACCGAACAGCAAGCTATAAAGGGCCCCAAAATGACTAGTGTAAAACAATTCAAACAGGAAAACCAACGGTCTAATCTATATAAAAAACGAGAAACGAGAAACACTTATGAACCATACCAACAAACGACAACCACTGAACAACAGGCTCCTGACTTTAGGACAGGTGCATAAAAATGCAGAGGGTTTAAACGTTTTAACAACATTTTCAGCTCACCGGGCCCGATGGGCCCCATGTGAGCTTATGCCATCACTTGGCGTCCGTCGTCGTCCGTCATCGTAAACTATTTCAAGAATCTTCTCCTCTGAAACTACTAGGCCAAATACCATCAAACTTTAACTGAATGTTCCTGAGGGTATGTAGTTTATAAATTGTATCCGAAGTTTTGATCCATCAAAAAACATGGCCGCCATGGCTAAAAATAGAACATAGGGGTCAAATGCAGTTTTTGGCCTATAACTTAAAACCTTAAGCATTTAGAGCAAATCAGACATGAGCTAAACATGTTCAACAGGTCAAGATCTATCAGCCCTGAAATTTTCAGACGAACCGAACAACTCATTGTTGGGTTGCTTCCACTAAATTGGTAATTTTAAGGAAATTTTGTATTTTATCTTGAATATTATTGAAGATAAAGATAAACTGCAAACAGCAAACATGTTCAGCAAAGTAAGATCTACAAAAAAGTTACATGACCAAAATTGTCAGTTGACCCCTTAAGGAGTTATTGCTCTTTAAAGACAAATTTACACAATTTGTTCATCATGTTTGCTAACATTTAAAAATCTCCTCTGAAACTACTGGGCCTAATACTTCTAAACTTTAACTGAATGTTCCTTTGGGTAACTGGTTTATAAATTGTATCCGAAGTTTTGATCCATTAACAAACATGGCCGCCATGGCTAAAAATAGAACATAGGGGTCAAATGCAGTTTTTGGCTTTTATCTCAAAAACTATAGCAGTTAGAGCAAAAGTGACATGGAGTTTAAGTGATGAATAAGTATAAAATTATCAGCTATGAAATTTGATTTTGATTTTTGGTGTTTTAACGCCACTTTCAAGCACCGCTTATGGGCTAATTCGTTGCGGTCAGTTTTTATTGGTGGAGGAAGCCGGAGTGCCCGGAGAAAACCACCAACCTTCGATAGGAAAACTGACAATCCTAGTCAATTAAAATTGGAGTCGAGTGCACCCGCACGAGCGGGGTTCGAACTCACAACCTCAGTGTTGTATTACGATAGATAGAGAGAAAGTGTAAATGGCAAAATATTTCAGCTAAGTAGGATCTACAAATAAGTCAAATGATCAAAATAGTCAATTGACGCCTTAAGGAGTAATTGCCCTTGAAACGCTTATTTTTTTACATTTTTTCGTGCGAGTCTATTACTTTTTCAAAAATCTTCTTCTCTGAAACTGCTGGGCCAAATACTTCCAAATTTTAACTGAATGTTCCTTATAGTATCTAGTTTGTAAATTATATCCGAAGTTTTGATCCATCAACAAATATGGCCGCCATGGCTAAAAATAGAACACATGAGGACAAAAGCAGTTTTAGGCTTATATCTCAAAAACTACAGCAGTTAGAACAAAAGTGAAAGAGAGTTAAAGTGATAAATAGGTCATGATCTATCTGTTACGAAATTTTCAGACAAGTTCGACAACCCATTGTTGAGTTACTGTTGGAAATAGTTTATTTTTATTAAATTTTACTGTTTTTGGTTATTTTCTTTAATATTATAATAGATAGAGAGAAAGTATAAATGGCAATAATGTTCAGCTCAGTAAGATCTACAAATAAGTCAAATGCCTGAAACTGAAATAACAGGTGAGCGATATCAGGCTCTCATGAGCCTCTTGTTTGTGTCTGCTTGCTGTTTTAATGTAATTATACAATAAAAATACCACTGTAACGTAAACCCATGTTCTAAATCAGAGCTTGTTTTTTAATCAAATTTCTCGCAAGTTGAATGGTGACATTTCTTGAATTCTATAAAAAAATCATCTATTTAATATTCTTTAGTAAACATTGAGATGCACAACTGCTATTTTAAAGCAGTTCTATTAAACGTTCATCCTACTTCTTGTTTATGTGATTTATATCAGTATTTAACTTATGTTTTTGTTTCAGATCCAAAAACAAGTCATGCAAACCCAAAAGACGACACGTGGATTTTCGGTTCGAGCGTTTTCAGAAGGTCTAAAGAGAAGGCTGTCTCCAAAGGGAAAGGAACAACAACAACCGAAAGGAATACTTCGGAACAACTCTACTGAATCTATAACATGCGTCCACTGTGATCAAAACAATAACAATAGATCTTACACAGGGACAGATACTCTTCGGAGCAGGATTGGAAATATACCGGGTTGTCAGATGTGTGCAGCAATGAATACAGATAATTTTGCTAAAAAGAGCGTTAGATTTAGCACCGTTGTACGGGAGAGGAACTACATAAGATCGGATGAGGAAAATCCCACAAACAGGAAGTACAGAAAAATTTCGTCGGACTATAATAGTGCAAAAACCACAAAACCTTGCTTTCAAGCAGCAATGTTTGCATGTAGTATATGTCATATAACAATGAAAACTGAGAGTGAATTTATTGCACACCAAAGAAAACATGGAATGAATAACACACAAGTTTTCCAATATCAGATGCCACACCAGTACCAGGATTATAGACCAATATCGCCACACATGTTTGTTCGACAGTAGGCCAATTTCGCCATATATGTTCGACAGTAATGCACTATTTGTGATTTTTGAAAATCTAGTCGTTATAAAAAAATTCATGTTCAAAGTAGAATGTATAAATAGCTGAAAGAAAACAGCAGGGTTTAGTTTGAAATTAATGAAAGTAAACTGTGATTGTCGTCAAAACTATGCAACTATGTCGTGTTATGCACCTTTAGCATCGTGCATAACTTTTAAAAATAAATCATTTTATCAAATTTTTAAAGTGACGTTTATGCAGGTAAAAAAGAAGACAGCATGACTATCGAGACATCTGCGTTCTTCAAAGATTATCTATTTTAAAAGTATCACAAATTTTAATGCATATTTTATATACCAATGTATTAAATATTAAAATAACGAGTTCCTCTTATTGAAAATTTAAATATCTCGCAAATGACAAATTTGACACACTAAAATAACTTTCATTGCATTAACTTTATTTGTGATCACACTAAAGAACTGTAGGTGAATATACGGTTGTAACCGCCTACGGAAATTTATTTGGTTAGTATTGAAGAAACACTTAAATATGAACCTGTTCTTTTGATATGAACATGTATCAATCCATTAGCTGCCATTTGTGTTGAAGAATATCCCGATTCTAAATTACATTGCAGATTATTTTCTTTAAAAACAATGATTTCACTATAAAAACGGAAATAATAGTGCACTTCTGAATTGTATTTTGCTTCATGTCCAGTGGGAAATAGTTGAAGCATATAGAGGACAAGGACAAATTAACAATAGATATATTTCTATACCGTCAGTCAAACCTTGAGATTGGTATACTTACAGTTCGTTTGGGTGATAAAATTCATATTAACTACAACAGATGAAGTTACTTCTGCAGTCGCAACATGATGATTCTTTAAGCTCCTATATTAAATGAAGCCCAGTGTTGTGGTCATATAGTTTATAGGATCGACAAAAATTTCTAGAGCCTGTAAATACAAAACAAAAAACAAGAAACCTGTGATGATTTTCGTTGTTAGGTTTTCGTCTCATTAATGTATATCCACATATATTAAAATATCTTTATATAAAAATAAGGAGATGAGGTAAGATTGCAAATGAGACAACTATCCAATAAAGTTCAAATAAAGTGGATGTAAGCAATTATAGGCAACCGTATATACGGCCTTCAACAATGAGAAAAACCCATACCGTAAAGTCGACTATAAAAGACCCCGACATGAAAAATATGAAACAATTCAATTGAGAAAACTAACGGCCTGATTTATAACAAAACAATTAACGACATACAAATATGACAGACATGAACCAACGACAACCACGAACTACATGCTCCTGACTTTGGGACAGGCACATAAAAAATGTGGCGGGGTTAAACATGTTTGTGAGCGCTCAACCCTCCCCTAACCTGGGACAGTGGTGTAACAGCACAACATAAGAACCAACTATAAAATCAGTTGAAAGAAGGCTTAACTCATCAGATCGATACAAAGCAGAAAAACACCAAACATAAACACAGACCGGACGTGGCAGGGTATGTTTCCATCCCTCATTCCTAACATCAAAAGAGGCACTTCAGTACAGATCTGAGAGTACTCGCAGTTACTGACGGCTAGTTCAAAGCCAATAACAACTAATAAAAAAATCATGTATCAAAGACTAAAATACCAATCACACATCCAACATCCATTATAGTTTATCTTGTGAAGAGATGCGTAATTCCAATAGATGCCAGTCTGAGTCCGAGAGAACATAATATATGTATAAGTTGTAATTGGCTTTGCTCTAGCTTTCAGTAGCTGTGAGTACTCTTATGTCGGTGCTTTGTGTCTATTGTGTTTATTGTTTTTGTGCCTTGTGCTTATCTTTTGAGTTGAGCTAAATGTTCTTCTGTTGTGCTGTTACTAGTACATCACTGTCCCAGGTTAGCCGGAGGGTTGGGCGGCAATCAGATTAAAATATAGATCTCTAATTTCGCTATCCTTATATGTTGTGATAGATCTGAATTTTAATCAGATTGTTTAGCCCAGCCCCATTCTCTATATGCCTTTCCCAACTCAGGAGCCTGTAGCTAGTGGTTGTCGTTTAAATGAGACCGTTGGGTTTCTCGTCAACGAAAAATGTCCCAATCTCTGTTGACTTCTCTAGTTTTTTCAGATGAAATTTTTTCCAATAACTGAACATGATAAGCACATGCACAAACGAGGTCACACATAAAATACGCATACATATGGGTCGATATAAGGACGAATTATTGTTTCGAAGACAATAAGGTATCGACGAAGTTTGGTTTTTTTTTTGGACAAAATTGACCCAAACGGACATCTACTGATGGTAACGAATTAATATTCCCTACTCCGTTCTTGTAAATGTTTGAAAAAAAAATAGTAAAGGGTTCCACGAAACCCAGTGTCTAGTCAATGGTTACTGCTGACAGTTTAAAATTATAACGTTGACTGAAAAAACGAAGTCCATTTATCAGTAAAATATGGAAAATAAAAAAAAAACAATTTTTTTTTTAATTTAGATGCTATTTCTTGAAGCTCCTCTCTTAAGTTTCTTAACATTGCATGAAGGCTTGACATAGTTATTGAAGTATACAAAATTTACTCTCAGACTGTGTAAAATGTAAACACTAGGTCCATCTATCAGTAAAATACTGAAAATGGAAATATATATATATATATATATATATATATAAGTGCCTATAAATAGCAGCACATGACATACAAATCTATGGGAGTGTGGATTAATCAGTACAGAGATTAATTCAATTACACAAATAAAATTATAGATTGCCTAACAATGTAATTTTAACACACTATTTAGTATGTAAATATAAGAATGTTTTAAATATTTACAAAATGATGAAAATAAACGCAATATTTCGCTAGACTAACTAGCTTTATCAAGCGTGCATCTATCCAGGTGAAATCGGATGTAGATGATAAGAAACTTTTGCAGCTCAATGTATATGTTGCACTTGAATTTAGCTGCCTTGAAAAAAATACATAATTTGGATGAAGTTCAAGATTTTTACAAAATTGGTAGTAGAAGTTAGCAACGTCCATTGGCCAATATTACAGGATAAAAAGGACGATGCTGTGTACTAAATTATTCTTTATCTTTCCTGTATCTTTTCTCATCTTTTTCGTTAAGACCATCAGGTTCTAAAGTGTGGAGTTGGTGGATCCAAAAATTTTCTCTTCTCCTTCTCGCCGTGGTGTCCCACTCGGTGTTGACTTCTATGATTTGGAAGGTAACATTATCAAAAGAATGTTTCGTTGAACGAAGATGTCTTGTGAGAGGACAGTTTTTGTTGGTTTTGTACCATGAACGATGGTTATTGAGCCGAATATTAAATTTGTCCATTGTTTCTCCCACATACTGAATGCCACATGTGTCACATGTTAATATATAAATTGAGTTCTCCGTTTTACAGTTGGAATTTGAGTAGATGGTATAATTTTGTTTAGTAACGGAGCTGATGAAAGAACTGCTTGTATTGGCAGCTTTACAACACAAGCAGTTCCTTCGACCACATTGTTTGTAGCAACCGGGAGATGGAGTAGGCTGCTTTGCTAATACAGATGTCATTAATTTGTCACGGATGTTTTTAGGTCTTCTGAAGGCCATGACTGGTGGTGAGGAAAATACTTTTTTAAGATTTGAATCATTTTCTATAATTTTCCAATGCTTCTGAACAATGGAAGACACATTTTTTAAATCAGGATGGTAAGTGAGTACAAGGGGTGTTCTGTTAGCTGCTTTATTCTTATCTTTGTACTCTAGACGTTCTTGGCGACTAGTTTTGTTTGCTCTTTCGAAAGCGCTATCAATGATGTTGTTATTGTATCCTCGAACAACTAGATGTTTACGTAGTTGTCCAAGTCTAGCATTTTGCGTATTTTCAGTAGAGCATATTCTCTTGTTTCGCAATGCCTGGCTGAATGGGATGCCACGGGAGCAGTGTTTAGGATGGCAACTTTTAGGAGAAAGGAATTGATGTTTGTCCGTTTGTTTGGTATGAAGGTCCGTTATAATAGTTCCGTTCTTGATGTAACTCGTAGTGTCGAGGAAGTTTATTTTCTCCATAGATGATTCATATGTAAATTTTATTGAATGGTGGAAAGAGTTACAGTGTCCTAGAAATTCATTAAGATGTTCTTGTGAATCTGTCCATTTGAAATCAATATCGTCAATGAATCGGAACCATGATAAGGGCTGGTATGGAGCACTAGCCAAGAGGCGTTTTTCAAGTTGGCCCATAAATATGTTGGCATATGACGGGGCCATTTTTGTGCCCATACTAGTACCGTCTATCTGGAGATAATGTTTTTCATTAAAAGAGAAGTTGTTGTTCTCTAGCACTAGTTTCAGAAGTGTAACAAGGCACTCAGTTGGAGGATTTTTTTCACTACGAGTGTTCCATACCTCTTCACACGCTGCTATTCCTTCGTCTTGTGGAATGTTGGTATATAAAGAAGACACGTCCATGGATGCAAGTATAGTATTGCTTGGTAGAGGATTGAGGCTTTCCATTTTCTTTAAATAATCAGTCGTATCTTGGATGTAAGAGGGTAGTTCTTTCACATGAGGTCTTAGATGATGGTCTAAAAATTCTGATATCTTTTCAGTTGGATGACTATTTGCTGAAACAATTGGTCGACCTGGATTGCCCGTTTTATGTATTTTAGGCAACATATAGAATCTTCCGGCCTTTGCTTCGTTCTCAAGAGGTCGGAGATAATCAAAGGTGTCATTGTCTATATGCTTTTTGTCGAACATCTCTTGAAGGATGGTGTTGATCCTTCGTATATTATTTAGTGTTGGATCTGTGGTTAATTGTTTATAAAAAATGGAGTTTGAAAGTTGGCGATTTCCCTCTGCTATGTAATCTGTTTTATTCATGACAACCACAGCGCCCCCTTTGTCGGCAGGTTTTATTACGATATCCTCTTGATCTTTTAACGCTTTCAAAGCAATGCTTTCTGACTTGGATAAATTATAATTTCTTGTATTTGTTATACAGGACTTTATATCAGACCTCACGTAGTTAATGAATGACTCCAAGTTATCATTTTTACTCTTAGGTGGTTTCCATGAACTTTTTTTCTTAAATTTTGGGATGGGCGTGACTTCTTCATTGGTGTCAGTATCTGAATCTGTTAATCCAGCTTCTTCAAGGTTTTTCTTGCCCCTATTGTAGAAAAAATCTTTCAAGCGTAAACGTCTAGCGAATTGGTCTAAGTCCTCGTCTAGCTGAAAGTTATTTACATTTGATGGGATAGGACAGAAGTTTAAACCTTTACTTAAAAGAGATTCTTCAGCACGTGTAAGTTCTTTAGATGACAAATTTACAACAATGCTTTCAGTTTTTTGTTTCC